TTTTCGGTCGGGGATGTGGCGAGGTTCCATTCCTCCGCCCGCCAGGGGTTTTTTCCCGCTCATTTTTGGGTCGGAGATGTGGCGAGGTTCACGGTTCCATTCCTCCGCCCGCCAGGGTTTTTTTTCCGCCCGTTTCCGGCCAGGGATGTGGCGAGGTTCACAGTTTCATTCCGTCCCGGTTTGCGCGGAGCAGGACCAACAGGTTTCATGTTGCACGCTGTCAGTATTCTTCCGTGACCCGTTTCGGGGGATTTCTTTTCCGCCCGTGGAGGGTTTCTTTTCCACCCGTTTCCGGCTGCGAAAGGTGCTTTTTGCGCCCGCACAGGGTTCTTTTTTGACTGTTTGCAGGCTGTGCGGGGTTTCTTTTCCGCCCGAGGAAGGCTTCTTTTCCGCCCATTCGGGGCTTGCGAAAGGTTCTGTTTGCGCCCACGCAAGGTTGGCTTTTCACAGCGAACCAGTTATTTCGGGATGCGCTTTGCTTTTTCTCTGCACGGTTCCATTCCGTCCAAGCTCCCACCCGCGCAGGGTTCTCTTTAGACAATAATCGGGCGCAAGCTGGTTCCTTTATTCCGCCTGCCAGGTTTTTTTACCCGTCCGTTTTCCGGCCAGGGAATGAGACCGTGTCGCTGACCCTGCTGGCAGTCCGGGTTGACGGCCACATGATTCTGGGCAACAGCTGCTCGGCCGTGAGTCGATGTGGGTGTTGGTTTCGGACATTTTTGCAACACCCCACGCGCGAGGTGTTGCGGACTTTGGTGGCCCATATTTGCCGACGTGGGACCGCAATGATGCATAGTGCTTCGTGACAGCTGTGACTTACTGCAGCCTTGTCGTCCAAGTTCGTCATCATTCTTTCAAGAGGTGTAGGAAGCAGACGGGGGGGTGCTGTGCAAGATTGCGACTTGCGAGATTCCGATGTCTGTCTAGAAAAGTGAACTTCAAGCTGGCGAGATCTACCTAGTGCGGAGGAATGCTGCTGCATCAGGTGTGCGCAGCAGCAGCTCTTCCAGTGCAGCAGGAGAACGACCGTGCAGGGGTATGTCAAAAACGTTCATGTGGGGAGACGCATCCTTGGGTGATGGAGAAACACCCAGTCGTGGGACACCAGTGCCAGCATTCATGCGGGGGGGTGCATCCTATTTTTATGGGGACACACAGTCGTGGAACACGGGGTCGAAGTCTGATGCAGTCAAGTGCTGGGATGGCCGCTCACACCTGGTGTCATTTGCTTGTTAGTGTAGAAGGCAACAGTGCCTCGAGACTGAAGAAGCAGACCCAAAGTTGCCTGGTGCGGCCAAACGCAGATTTGTAAGTGCGCCCATTCTGCGTTGAGCAAGAAGCGACTCTCAGAATTGTTCCATGGCAGGGGGTAAAGAGAAAAGAAGAAATATATCTCCTGATGCAGGGATCGGTGAAAGACGGCGTGCCGGGACGTAGGTTGCCATGTCGCCAAGACATGCTTTCTTTTTGTGATAGATGACAAGAGCAGCCATGCCGAAACTGTGTCGGATGGTCTTGCGTCGGTCTGTTGGACGTATACCAGCAGAGACTCCCAAGGGCGCAGGCAGCAAGAAGTGTAGAGTCTTGTGGTGCGAGCGCAGCGCAAGGCATGGCGTGAAAGCTGGCAGCCTGCGCAAGAACGTCTGGTTCCGACGGACGCTTGGCTCAGAAGGGCTCCATCGGCCATTGGGTCAATGCATATGAGTCGTCTTCAAAGCTATTGTTACTGCCTTTAGACAAGGGCGTAGAATCCAGGAGTGTGATTTCGCGCTGGCCTTGGAAAACGATACGGGACGCCCAAATAAACACCGACCCACTCACTCACTCATTCACTCACTCACTCACCCACTCAGTCAGTCAGTCAGTCACTCACTCTCTCACTCTCACTCTCACTCTCACTCTCACTCTCCTCTCACTCACTCACTCACTCTC